CGTTCTCCGACGCCTTACGTTCTCCGCCTCGGCGTAGTCCTGCGTCTTTACGTCTTTGTGAATTTTTCTTTCGTGTCGTCGACCACTTCTTGAAATCCCTCTTTACAGACGTAAACGTGCTTTGGACGTAGAAAATCGTGATAAAGAAATCGCGGATGTTCAACGGTGCCACCATTCCATTCTGTTTCCGCGAAGAAAAAAATCGAGCTATCTCATCTGGAGGGGGCAAAAATTTGTAGAGAGCATTTCTCATTCTAGTATATTTTCCTGCAAAACAGCAGTGATATTAATAGCGTTACTATACTTTTATTATTAGCTAATTTTCATGCATAAAATGAAACTACTTCCATTTCTCTGATTACTCTAGTGGGCTAATTTCATTTGTATAGGTAAACTGGTAAACTGGTTTAATATATTTTCGCGTGTTCTCATTCTAAACCTCATCTCTAATTGTCCTTTATAATGCTTTTCTGCACTTGGAATAGCTCTTCTTTTTCAAAAAAATTTCATGAATTTTTCTTGTACATAAATCCGTTTCTTTCTTGATATTTTTTTGATTCAAAAGGTTCAGAAACTGCGACGATCTTTTAAATCAACTATTTGCAATATTTACGATTCATTTATATCGCATATAATATGATTGCTTCTTCATAGATATTTTCTGCATCGATATTTAATATATAAGTACATATCTCTAGATTAAAAATTGCAGAAGTACTTGAATTTACGGCTTTCATTAACTTTTAAATGCTACCGTCGATTATCGGAGGATGCGTAGATCAGAACAGATATTTTCTTGTTTTCTGGCATCGAAGCTTATTGAGCATCTCCGTGATTCTGTCGACAGGAGCTACCCATGCAAGAAGGAGTTCTCTTTGTCCCAGAGAATTCGCAGCTGTTGTGCTATGAATTTTTCCACAGCTACGTCTCGCCGTCCTTTTCCCAATTCTTCTTCATCGACAAGCTCATCATTCGAGAGATGCGACAAGTCTGAGTGGCATCTCATTATTTGCGTGAAATAGGCGTCAAATTTTTAACGCGTTTTAATTTAAACGCGTTAAATCGGAAATTGTTCGAAAAATTTTCCATTGATTTTGATAGAAGTATACTTAATTCAAAGCACTTCCGCAAAGTTTGCTTACAATTAAAAGGAATGTAAATCGAAAGTAGAATTAGAACTAAATACGCGTTTGGAATCTTGACTTTGCAAAAATTCGTCTTTTATCTGAACGGAATTCTCTAGCAGCGGATAATAACTTCTCTTTCGAATGAATACGCTTTACCGGAACTAAAAACATTGCACTTGACATAGATATACTTCAAGTTTTCGTGTAATATTTTTGCATCATCTGAATAAAAAAAATATCGTTACATCTTATCGTTACATCGTAAAATTGTCTCTTTCGGAGACGATTTTAGAAACTGCTCGTATAATGACGAGACTCTTTTTTTATTCGGATGATGCAAAAAATGTTACACAAACACGGAGTATATCTGTGTCAAGTGCAGTGTTCTTAGTTGCGTCCAAAGCACATTCATTTGAAAGAGAAACTATTATCCGCCGCTAGAAAATTCGTCCAGAAGACAAATTTTTGCAAAGTCGAGATTTCAAGCGCGTATTTGGTTCAGCCACCGCCAACCGCTCTTCCACAGGAAGACGTCGGGGGGCGGGGGTGGTAGGTGGCCGGCGCGAGATAGTTGTATGCGGGGCGGGGGGGAGGGTGGGGCGGTGGACTACACGGCGGGTGGTGACGGAGGGGGAGGGAAAATGCTCCGTGGTTCTGCGACCCACTGACCCGCTCGATAACGCCTTCCACCGGGGTCGCTGACCTTCCTCACGCGCGAAATTCGCATTGGTACGACCCTCTTGGCGTTGCCGCCGTTTCTCGGCTCTCGAGTCGAAGATCATCCCGTCGCGCGAGGAGAGAGTTTCCCGATCGTGGGCGCGTCTCGGTGCATACCGCGGTACCGATTGTCGTAACCGATCGATGTAAGACGACGGTGAACGGAAGTGCGCAAGCCGACGAAAACGGAGCTTGACCGATTGTCAATCTGGAATGCTGGAATTGCTTTTCGATCGGCCGATTCGGCGCCCGAGGATTTGGCGGAATTTATTGCGCGGCTGTGTATACGCGTTAAGCGGGGACGAGAAACCGCGACGATTGGAAAAAGCGCTGCTTGCCGAAGAACAAAATCGCGCCGGCTTTTGACGATGTGGCAACAAATGAATAAGAGTATCGTGACAAAATTGGTAAATGCGCAACGTATGTATTTTACTTGCAAACGGATTGATGTTAACCCCTTCAATACCGCGCTACATCATTTTGTGCACGAGTGCAACACGCTGCGTATGTCATACCCAACCCGTACAATACGAATTAGGTACTTGCAAGTTTTTTTAACTGAATTTACACAATCCATCTCATAGGTTCGACTTTACCGTTCATGAATTTTCAATGGATTTTATTTTATACATCATATTCCGCATTAATTTTTAATCTGTTGAATTACTTTAATTGCTTATAATTTTCATAAAAATGAACAATATTGTAACAAATATTTTTTCAATCAAAATGCCAGACATTGAGGAATAGTGGTAGTATTAAACAAATATATGTATTTTTACTAGTAAAAAAGAAAGTTATAATATACAATAAAGTGAACAGAAATTTGGAAAGATTTTTGGAAAAAAATCAAAAGCCGGATATACCATACTGAGAGTGACATTGAAGGATTAAGGCAATCGGTCAGATTACTGATCTTTATCGATGATTCAAGATCGAGATTTGAAGTATGATGCGAGTTATTCTTGAGTTACACTCTGCTGGTTGGCAGGAGTCGATTTAAAAGAGTATCATGACATTTCCGCTTTCGATAACGAACGTCTAATGTTATTTAGTGACTACATAATTCAGACAATGGTTCATCTCAATCCTAGGCTTCACGGTGTTAGAATCTTTTTCATATAGATTTTCAAGGAAGAGAAAGTAGAGAACGACGAGGCACGATAATTGCATTATTCAGTAAAGATACCATTTAATTTATCGCGGTTTAAAGGCATACAAATGTAATAAGACCTGCGGCTTTCTCTTTCCGCTTTTAAGTATAAGAATTATCATAAAGTTTCAGCTTTTTAACATGTGTCCTCGTTGCAGCTTCCACATTTATCTCATCTTTGCTGTTTCATACTTTTGTCTCACGGATTATTACTTTCATTCTTTTATCTTTTATATATGCGCATTAATAAAGGTGACGAGAGCGTAAAAGTGTTAAACGAGGAATTAAGAATCGCGTGGTAACCCGGTTTGTGCAATTGAATCAGGCGCAACAGCTCCGTCGTAGTATTTTTCTGCGTGCTGTAATATCGCGTTTCAAGGATTGCGACAAGCGAGACACTCACGCACAGCAGTATTGATTTCGAGACCCGTTGGCAGTGCTGCCACGATTCCGCGTCTCTGGAACTAAACTACTGAATGAGAGATATCGCAAACGCGACGATGTGCCAAAATTTAACTTGGAATGGAAAATGATTTCTTTCCTGTTCCGGGAAAGAGTCTTGCGCAGTAATTTCTTCTTAATAATAATTCCCTCTTAATTGTCTCTATAAATTCTTTTACAATCAAGTTTTAACAATTTAGCTCTTACACTCGAAGAAGTCGCTCTTACACTGCGAAATGTGTGTACTTGTAAGTTTTTTTCCCAATGAAACTTTGAACAATTCATATATCTTCTCATTTTCTACGTAAACTCTGAATTCATCTGTGAATTTGTACCATGAATTTGTACTATGAATTTTTAGTGAATTTTATTTTGTGCACCTTATTCTGCATTAATTAATTTTTCATCTGTCAGATGAATGACTGTTGATCCAATTATTCTATCTACATATCGCCATCCGAAAGAGCTCTCAAAATCGGTATTTCTCTTTAAAAGCACCATATTAAAGCACCATTAAGCCGACTGGCTGTAAATTGCTGCATCAGTTATTACATTCGATGATCTCTATTATAGAATCGATATGTTATTAACTTATCGTTCCTTGTAAATGAAACGAAAGTGATCGCGTTTATTTAGCTAATTAAGTAATTTACAGCCCCTACAAAATATATGAAACTACGTTTGAAATATCCATACAGAGATATTTATATCCTGCGTTTTACGTCAGCTTTGTTTTACTCTCAGATTTTATGAAAATTTTGTTACAGATGATTATTAAGCAATTAATGACACCTCTCTAATTATATGATGAATCGATACATCCCGGCTAAATATATAAGCTTGAAATATACAAATATACTGGCTCTATTTATATAAGTCACTTGCTTGCTAAAACACCAAGCGAACGGTCTGCAAGTATCGGAGATCGTAAAACATGTAACCGCCTTGAAGTAAGTATCTCAAAGCTATTTTAAGTCGACCGAAGGCTTCCAGAGACTCTTTAGTGATAAGCAATGTACTTGAGATATCGGTGTTCCACATGGTGTGATGATTTTCGATTAAACGAATGATCCGGATGTTTATGTTTATCTCAAGTTGATAAAATGCAGAACGGATTTTATCATACGTATACATTAAATAGTTTCGAAAGAAAATTATATTACAATATGTCCTTATAGAAATCTAATTTAATACTGGCCAATTTAATACTGAAAGGCAGTGATCAATTGTTAAAATTCTAAAAATTATTTAAAAATCTAAAAAGTATTTAGTACTTAAAGCAACAGTGCTTTTAATATTTACTCAAAATAAATAATTAATTACTATCGCCCAGTATTATATTTTTGTAAGAATATCCTCTGATTATATCATAATATATTCCGTCCGTCATACATATTGTTCATTATACCATCAATTATGAAATTAGAAAAGTGCCTTCCATCAAGTTAAATACTTAAGAACATTTTGTAAAAATCTTAAATATTATTTCGTACAAAATAAATGTTAATATATATCTTACAGTCAAGGGCCTTACGAACTTGTATTTGTCAGAATGTACTCACTTCGCATTCTTTGGTAGCATGCCATTAGCTGGACCGGAATACGTAGGAGTGAGGCAGAGGGGTGGGTTATTCGAATTCTGTGGAACTAGAGGCTGCCTTGCGTGCGCTGGCGACGTGTGCGAGCCATAGCCATCGGAATTCAGCTGAAATCACCATAGAGTAAATTTTAATATTTCCAATAAAACTTTTATCAGAGTTATTACGTAATTTGAAATTATGTTATGAATACAATTACACTTGATATCATTACAATCTAATTTTATTTTGCGAATACGGATGTCCAAAAACCAATATATTCCTTTTCGTCATAGATTCTTTCAGTCAGTTGAGCATTTGCCAATATTGGGATATATTTAAATTATATCCCAATATTTTTGTTAGGAGAAGACTATTTCTACGTATTAACCAAAAGTTCTGATTAATGATCCGCATATGTGCGGATTATACACTGAGAGAAAAATATTTGGTATTGTAACTATAATTATATGTTAAAATAATTACAGTTAAAAGTTTTATTTTTATATAGTTATATTACTGCTATAATGTTAGTAGTAATAATCTAATAATTATATTTTTTTAGTTTACTGAAAAAGTGATGATAAATTTTATTCATATTATGGTAATAACACTATTTTTTTCTCAATGTGGGACATTTTATGTATATGTATATAATTTATTGAAACGTAAAGGCTTGTCTTCACTAAAATCAATCGGCATACTTTTCTTCTTCTTTCTTATAAAAGAAAAAGAAATCGGTACGTCAGTCGACTTCAGTGGAAACTACACTTTACATTTCATCACTCACCTTGACAACGGTACCAATCAAAGAATCAGGTGGCATTTCTGGAGGTTCAGGTATCACACCTGGATTTGTATGCGCCGGATAATCGTTGTGCAGATTAGCCTCCTTAACAGGAGTACCACCGTCAAGTCGTTCCATGTCCAGGCTATCAGTTGGTGTCGGCTGGGAGAGCAAACGCTCTTTCATCTCATGTAAGTATGGACACCGTTGCATCTCTTCAGACTCTTCTGTTTTGTCTCTTTGACGATCTGCGGGAAAGTAAAATTATATCAGAAATACGTGCGAAAAAATTATCTATCAAATATTTAATATATTATTCAAATATAGAATAAGCCATCGCAAAACTGCTCAAATTTTACAAAAGACAATTAAATTTTTATATTTTTTGCACTCTTGTTTCATTATGAAAAATAACTTTATTGATCATTTCATTTCTTCTCATAAATTTGAGAGAAAATATATTAAATTTTCAATTTTTATGGTTGACCGTATACATAAATCCTGAATGAAACTTACGGGAGACGTGTTATTGATCGTAAAAAATTTAAATAAGCATGATTTCATAAAAATATGTGCAACACAATGCAGCAATTTTACTTATACAAATAGGAATAGAATCTTGTTTCACATCTCAATTTATACAATACGAATGACATACTTGGAAGTTTTTTTATATAACAAAACAGAATTTACACAATTCATCTTATCTCCGTAATTTCGATTTTACCATCCATAAATTTTCTCTCAGTAAAATTTGTGCATCTTATTTTGCATTAATTTTTAATTTGTCGGATAAATTTGATTGCTTATAACTTTTATAAAAATGAATATACTGTAACTAATTTTCCTTTAATCAAAACGACAAACATAGGAAAAACGATGTCAAAGAAATGCATGTAACTTTAATAGTAAAAAAAGTTATAAACAATAAAGTAAATAGAAATTTGGAAGACTATATAAAAAAAAAAATCTGGTATACCATACTGACAGTGACATCAAAAGATCAAGACAATTGAATTTGCTGGATTTGTTGGACGTTTCTTTGATTTTATTGAAGCGTACGCGCGATCCTTTGAATCTTTAACTTTCAACTATCGGAAGAAATAAAACTTTCGTAAATCGTTCTGATTTACGAAAGCTTTGAAAAATAACTTTTTATTTGCGAAACAGATAATCTATTTTGAAAGTGTTCAAATTTCAATTGAATTTATTCTAAAACTTAGAGAATACAAATTTCATATTATAAAAGCTCATGCGCATTATCGTCATTTTTGTTTACATCTCATTAATCGCTTTAGACTTTCGTGTAATTTTATCTGGATAGTGATATGATCGAATGAAACACGGAACACTCGTGGTATATGTTGCGCCAATGATCGTTATAGGTCAGATAAATAACTTTTTTTAAGATAGCTGAATGACATTTATCCTTTAATCAAGAAATTTAACATTCATTTATTTCTGTAATGTTATTATTAACGTGATATATTGAGTTAGTATTATCGTGACATTCTTTCTTCATTAACATACACCCCACATTATATTATATTTACAAATGTAAAATAGTATATCATTTAAATTCACGCTTGAAAGATTTTATAAGCCTACATGTATTATCTTATTGATTTATTTCACCGAACCTTTCCACTGAACTTACTTAAAGCCACGGTACCCATAATGCACACTTTAATATGCGTGGTTGTTACTTTAAGAGAGAAGGTCCTCGAAGGAGAACTTGCTTTCGCGCAAGAACTCGGTGAAAAAGAATATGCGGTGCTGAGCAGAAGCCAACAACGACAGTGCAAACGCGATCGGATTAATACTGTCTCAGAAGGAAGCTCCAGCCGTTAACTCGCTTCTTAGCTCTCTCTCCATAGTAGAGTTCGCCAAACATGGAGCTGCGATTGGCGCGCTAGAGTGTTCGCCTGGTCACGTGCGTACATCTTTCCACGTGGATGCTCACCGAAGAACTGGATGAGCGAGATAGAAAACTAACAGGCACCTCGAAGAGATATTTTTGCAGAACTTACAATACTTATGTAATAGGCCGCGTATTTATATGCAACAGCTGAAGACACTGTTCAGAAGAATGTCATAGGTCTATGTGCGCGACAAAGAGAGCGCGTAAACAATGGTGAACAGACCACACAAACGTTCTTCTAATGTTGTCTTCAGTTGTCATCATATAAAAATGAAAAGTCTATTACATAAATTCATGACTTGTAGAGCTCGCGACGTCTAACGCAATCCTATTAGATTTTAAGTTCTACTTAAAAATAATTCATTCGCACAGCCATTTGAATTTGAACTTACTTGTCCGAATTTGAACTTACTTGAATCCGAGCTCAACGCATTGTACACACTCGTATACATTTACAATTTATATCTCAGGTACACCTTAGAACATATTGGAAGTAACCGGTCAAACTGAATACCATATCAAAAGTGTCCCCAATATCTGACCTTGTTTGTTTGAAATCTGTCTATGCGCTTGCGCTAGATAATAATCGCATATATAATATTTGCTTAACTTTATGCGATACATAGCTTTATAATATTAGAATTTCAAAATTGTCAGATTTGTATAGACGCACATCACAAATAAACAAGGGCAAATACAGGGTTTTCCAAAAACATGGAGAAAGATATGAAAATGGTGAAACATACCGATATTCTAAAAAGTTATCTTTTAGTGTGGACCCTGAAAAACCATCATTTCCAGGTGCATAAAAGCGGGAGGAGTGATGAAAATTTTAAACGGCACTCAGAGGTCAAGTGAGAGTTTATTTGCAAGGCCTTTTTATGACGATAAAAACACTGATAATTTTAAATCGCTATCGAATGACGCCATTTAAAACGACACAAAAAGGTCACAAAAGCGAAAATTTCATACAATGGCATTACCCAAAATTATTATCCCTTTCGCATCTGGGAGTGATGGTTGATCAGCACTTACGCCAAAAGTTTTTTAAATATCGGAATTTACCGATTTTCGATATTTTTGTTTTTACAAGAATTATTACAGGCTTTCCTAACTTTGAGAAACCCTGTACGTTAAATTGAAGACAGCGCCGACACATAAACGCGTTACTGAAAACTTATATTTTCACGTAATTTTTTCATGTATAATCATTGATCTATTTTAATTTTTATTAATTTATTAAGTTAAACGTTTATCCGATTATTATGAAATTATTATTTATGCAAAATTGCATTAATCTCAGTATTGAATCGTTAGCGGATATTATTCGCTCACTTTGAATTAATTTATTTCAATTGAACAGGTTTGTACATTTAAAATGAAACACGAAGGAAATATGTCGCTTTGTTGCGGTACAGCACTGGAAGGGCGGTGGGTGTTTGGGAACGGTTACTGACCTATCTCCTCTCACGTTACAGTCTATCTTTGTGAGAACAAGGCAACCACGTAAAATAGCGCGGTAGTAATAGGGAGACGTGATATCTTACGATGCGTATCTGATACGGGAGAGGAAATTTTAATTTTAACAATTATCTGATAAAATTATCTAATAATATATTAACCGTATTTTTATTTATTTATTTAGAAAATAATTTTAATATTCTCAAGATTATTTTTCAGATTCGTCGGATTTACAGAATTATAGTATCCATATTCGCCATGTCTAAATTTTACCTCATGTTACGTTTGAATTAATCGGACCACCAGACGTTGATAATTAATATCCATCAGTTACAAGCCGGACTTTACGTTATGTCTAGCTCAAGTGACAGCGTGTAATTGACGATACGTGCGAAACAAGTCCAAGGACCGAGAATTCGATAACTGACCTAACTGAACGCACATTCAGGTGACGTCTCGACATCACGATGTCTACTGCAAGCTTGTTCCGTCGTGCAAGCTCTTTTCTCCCTCTCTTACTATTTTTACCCATCGTCGACTGTACACACATACACACACACACACACACACACACACACACAAACATACACAAACATACACACACACGGGCAAACACACCAAACATATATTTAGAAACCTGCACTTCGCCAAGAACGACAGCTTTAATTACGAATATCCATTCGCGACTCAATCTTGTCTTCATTTTTCTTTCATTCCTTTCTTTCTCCAAAGCACGAATTTCTGTTTTCTTTCCCCATGTGCACATCGACCAGCGCGAAATTATTTCTGCCGTCCATTTGCATCTGCTTTGCCACGACGAGGTTTCTAGGCGGCGTTCACGTGAGAGGACCGATTCTGAAGATTCAGCACTGACAGCGAGCAATGCGGCTGAACGATCAATTACAGAAAATACGCGAGATAATGGATTTAAGAATACCTCAAGGGCAATTCTCAGATCGTTGCTGAAAAAAACTTATGGTCCAGCATGGACGGTACAGTGATTTCGAGGCGATTACGTGTTCAATTGCTAAAATCGTTATTAAATCATCAATCAAAATTATAACTTTCATTTTTCGTGCGTAATTTATATAAATGATAAATTGTAAATATATTTAGATGGCAAAAATGACAAATTTAAAAAAAAATGGCCGCGTTTAGCAGAATGTTTATTTTGCAATCGTTGGAAGTCTCCCTTCGTGCTGATTGGATTATACTTTTTTTTTTCAGATCTAGAAGAATAATCTCAGCGAAGAAAACTTCCGACAGTTGCAAAATATATATTCTGCTCACGCCGATGTTTCTAGCGACACGCGTTTTTTTTTCCGAACGCATCCGCCTTTTGATTTGACGAATTTTATCATTGGTGCAGTTCGTTCACTGTGATTTAATAGGATTATTCTATTTGAATTTTTTTACGTCGCGTCACGTCACACGCACTTATAATTGACTGAAATCAGACTAGGGTAAAAGCCTTCATATTGACATAGTGGGAAGAAAGCTTTTCGATCAATCGTTCAAAGAGACACGAGAAATTGAAAGATGTCCTTTCAGAATTTTTTTATCTCTAACAATCGAACATTTCTTTCTAAAGAATTTGCATTATATGTTATATGTATATTTAATGTACTTAAGAACACGAAATCTTATTATGTGCATATAAAAATATGAAGTGTAGCGATGCAATATTATAATGTTGTGCTATAAAATTCGCATATCGCTGCATAACTCCAGACAATAATTTCGCTTTATTTCCGCATCCACGTTCGATAAAATCTAAACATGTAGAAGTTTCCTGCAGGAGGCTGAATCTAAGGAGAACGACCTATTTCATACAAAGGAAGTACCGAAGAATATCGGAGTTCGGAA